TTTCCCTCATGTATATCATCAAGCTCTAAATTTCAATTTCCAATCGTAAGAAAATTGGCTTTAACTTTGCGGATCTACTACTTTATCATTCAGAGTCTCTTAAATGTCATAAGTAATTGTCAGCAGAGGAATGCTAGTCAATGGAGTACAGACGAAGCAAAACTTCATTAAGTAAGAAGTCTGCAAACTGCTATTAAGACCTTTTTATGATCAAGCAAGATTTTTTATTCAGAATGACGACTGAGCTACAATTGAATTCATTTCAAAGGAATCGAATAAGAGTAAGACTACAAGATCAGCTGTAATCTCAAAGGAAACAATTGGCTCATTGAAGAAATTGCAGCTACTTACCTTTGTCACCAGTAATCATTTCATCTATTAAAGAAAAGAGAAGTAGCATACTTAAGGATAACATCGATAGTTTGTTCAATAGAACTCTAAAGATAGATGTGAAGTCTTATGATTGTTTTCACTCAACAGGATTACTGATTTGTAAAATCAAATATATTTACAAAAATGCAATCTAAATGAATCTTGGTTATTCTGAATTTCTACAATTTAAAGATATTTCAATATAGCCAAGGATGATGCATTCGAAAAATAAAGAACTTATCAACTTGCCCACCACCAAAAGCAGATAAAAAGTCTCGAAGAAGAGAAGCAGGTATGATGAAAATAATTGAATTATAAAAATATCATTAATAATATTATAAAACCCTAAATGCTAAAATATTAATAAGTCATTATCCTAGTCCAATTTCTAATCAGCACCTTATAAAGCTAAGAATGCTTTTCACTAAATTTCCCAATAGTGCTAAGTGAAGGGGATTGAAGAACAGTTTTTACAGCAGTTGACTTTAACAATAATAGAAATATTGTAAATAATACATTACGTATAATTATATGCTTATTAGTACAATGTTGGGGGTTATACAGAAGATAAGTTTGTTGCCGGAAAAACTTTGGCCCAGTCTACTCCGATTATCGTTTCATATGCTTCTACTGGGAAAACTCTTTGGGCAAAACTTATAGAATTAGATACTTGCAAAAGTGTTGTCAATCTTGCTACAACACCTGATTTCAAATAACTCGTTTCAACTTTCGATACATATACTACTTATGTATTAGTATAAAACTACCTGACAGGAAATGTTACCTCGATTTTTAAAATTGGAATGTCAAGTTGGGGATATACACCATTTGGTGGAATAACTGTAAATAAACAAAATGAATTTTGGGTTGGAGCAAGAGAACCTAATGGCTATAGGTTTAAGATTGCAATTTTTAGGTTTTAAACTTTTGGAACCTAAACATCTTTTACAATGAAAAATTCTTTAAGACTTTAAGATTTTGATGATTAGATCAATTGTTTGAAATTTACTACTGATATGGATTATGTGATTTTTACTGGATATGCTCAAGAAAATTCTGCTTATTTTTATCCAGTGATTATTTCATATGAAATTTCAAGGCGAAGGATATCAGACATATTTGTATAAGGTTAGATGTGGTCTATGTTTACATACTACTATGTTTTCGACTAATTGAGCATTCTTGAAAATTAAGATGATTTTGAAATTGGAACAATAGGCTATAAATACACAGGCACTTATAGCTATTTCTCGATGTATATTTAAATGATCACATTAAATGAAGATAATGGTTTCTTTTCTTAAGATTGAATGGTGTAAGAATTAAAATGATTTAACTTTGTTTATAGGAATCTTGCTTCAGATTATAAAGGCTTAGGTATTTTTGTTGCCACACCTTAAATAACATTTGTATATGCTCTTGATTTACTAACCTAAATTCAATACGTGATAAAAATAGAGTTCCCAAAACTTGGAATTAGTAATGTTAAAATTACGAATCAAAAAATACAAAATTTCTCGCCAAACAATGTCTATTATTAAGCTATTCAAAAAAGTGATGATTTATAACCTACTTCATTTGATCAACTAAACTGGCTAGTTGTAGGTGTCGGCTTTCAATATCTAGTGAATACCTCAAATATTCTTACCTATGACTCTGCTTTCTTACTCTCAAGTAAAAACTCTAAACTTTGTGGAATGACATACACTTATACTCTAGGTGAAGCTATTACTTTACAAAAGCTACAAACCTCTAATAAAATAACTTTTTAATTTCAGGAACTCAAGACAGAATTGACCATTTTTGATGCTTCTTAATCAATAGTTTTATCAGATTTAAATGTATCTTAAAGCTAGTTTTGCCCAAAATACACTAATATATTAAGTTATCCTAATTCTACTATTACTACTTGCTAAGTTTCAAAAGGAAATCAGAGCCTATACGTTGTTAAAAATTTTGTCATCTAGGGTACTTGCTCAGACGCCTCAATCGGATATAGTTTTAGCTCTAATTCTACATAAAATTATAATCCTAGTCTATTTACCTTCACAAAATCTTCAATGATAATTAATTGTAATCCTACTTTGAGTTCGTAAGTTGGAACATACAACTTAAGTCTTGTTGGAACTTTATCATATCCTTAAGCCTACGGGCAAGTCAATCCAATAAGTAGAACAATTTTTTTCCAAGTCAACGTAGTGGATGAATCATGCAATACAGCTACACTAATGGTAATAACTCCTAAGATTTATAACATGACTTACATATATGGATACCCAGAGATGAAACAATTATATAGCTTTTAAGTATCTGGGGGAGATAAATGTTAGATTGATTACAAATTAGTTGATAACTTAGGGAATCAAAATACAGTTCCAATAGTCTTTGATAACACAAGCATCATAATATAACTGAATAACGGAAATCAAGATAAAGTAATGTAATATACAATTATTGCTAGTGTTCAAACTGCAGTATTATCATATGCATCTAATTCATTCTTTATAAGCTTTGTTTCTCAATAATCTGCCTGTTTATCAGTTCCAATCTCTTAGCAAACTATAGTCAACAATTTCTCTTACTCTCTGAATCAAGGAAAAGTAAATTTGACGAATATAACTTGTATGCCTGAAAACATTTAATGCTTTTCTTACCTAACTTATTACAAGACATTCATTAGTTTGCCTTAACTAGTAGAATAAAATATGATGAATTTGCTAATTGCAGATCCATTTACTTTAGATTATTAGGGTGATGGCTAGAATTACAGTTTCAATGTTTTGGCAAATAATCAAAATTTTAACTTATACATCGCTAATGGGGGGCTTCCTGTTACTTTTGAAATTCAAATAATGGTTTACATTGAAGATTCTACTACTCAAATGAGCTGCACTCCTGTATTTAGTGTGACTATAGATGATATGTTGTGCTATATTGCTGTCTTAACGCCTAAATCATTCAATGAACAAGGTATGTCTCCGAATCATAATTAATTATTACAATTTTAGTTAGCGAATACACGATACTAGATTCAGCATTAATTTTGACTTTTGACTATTGGAATGATGAATCGTTCTAGTGCGGATCATATGAGTATAGTATAAGCTACAGCAATACCTTCATTTCTGACATTTTTGTATCAGCTAATCTAACGACAAGATCTGTGAGAATCTATGGAACCAATCTTAACATTCTAACCTAAGATCTTACGATTACACTTAAAGGTAGTATTTTTAACGGCAGATACGCATAAGTTCAGAAATCAATAAAAATAATCAATCCATGTTAAGATTTGAAATTGAATTTAATCTCTAATTGTGAGACCACATATTATATAAAAGATAATGCCTATGACTATTATCTTCCGTAATCTACTTTGAACTTGATCCCAGAAGAAAATTGTCCAAAAAACATTGAGTACTAAGTTAAGAGTAATCATTAAATTCCAACTTTCATTACATTGAAGAAGAATATAGACTTGACTTACCAAATCTGAGTTTAAACTAATAATACTTAAGATATTGGATCATATGCTTTTAACTATACAGCAAAATATATGAATTAAACAGTATCCTATATATTCACTCTGATAATCAAATAAAAACTTACTTGCACTGGTATATTTGTGCCTTCAATTGAAGATTATACTTATTACATAGGAAGTGGATTTAAAATCTTGTCCCATGAAGCTTTTTACACTATCCCGATTCCTAATACTTGCACTGATCTAACAGTCGCAGCTTTTGTAGATGATAGAGTTATTCTTCCAAAATTTATTCAATATTAGCCTAAATTTAGCCAAATTTCTATTAATTCTCAAGATATCAAAGATGTGGGAGAATATATTGTAACTATTGGCGGATACGCTTCAGGTTATAATATTAACTCTACTTTCTCTCTTAAAATGCTCAATCCTTGTAAGGATGCAATTATCAAACCAACTTCAATCAAAGATGTGCTCTATTTAATCGGATCAGGTGAGATGTAAGTAAAATTTCCCTCTTGGAAATCTACAATCAAAGAATGCAATGGTTTTACTTATGAAGCTATGAACGAAGAAAAATCATTACCTGTACCAGATGTCATTAATCTTGATGCAAATAGTAGAACATTCATAATCAAAGTTGATAATAGTAACCTAGATGGCAAAAATTACTTGATAAAAGTCATTGGAAGAACATTTTATGGATTTCAAAGGACAGAATTTGTATTGACTCTCACTTCTACGTTAAATTAGGCTAGCACTATCGCTGTATATGGTGGAAAGATAATTGACCTCTCTAAAATTAAAAAAGACTTGACAGCATCTATTAAATAAATATCAATGGATGGGCAAGTTCAAGTTAAGTTTTCTAAGAATATGCTCAACTTTAATGATACTAGTCCTCTGCATGATAATAAGACTCTTATAATAAGGATTGATCAGAATGATAATATAATTAGAGTTAACAATTGGACTGTGGTTTCATATAAAAACAATATTTTAACACTTCAGCTCTATTTTGAGAATCCGAAACTGATATCTTTCAATCAAGTAAGTTAACTTTAAAGTAATGACATTGTAGAAATATGATGATTTATTGATAACCTTCAACGTTACTTAGTTTTATATATCGAAAAATCTAGATCAAATTATCAAATAAAATTATATAACTGAGAGTAATATACCACCACAAAGTTACAATTCAAGTAAGCTGATAATTTACTAAATATTTATAGCTGCTATTAAAGTATTGGCTGCTATGGCTGGAGTAGCTAGCTCATCAATCACAGGATCGGTTACAATAAACTTGATTCTATCCATAGTACTAGGTGTCAGTATGAAAAACTTGTGGATGCTTATGAACACCTTATAGATCTTGGTTATGATTCCATTATTATGGCTTTCACTTCCTGCTAATTTAACAATAATGTGCAAAGCCTTAATAGATATTGCTAACCTTAATTTTATCCCAAAGGACACTATTAATGAGTACGTTAGAAAGTTTTTATTTAAGACGAAAGGTACTGTAAAATAAAACATGAACTTCATTATAATGGATATCTTTGAACATTCACACTGCTTTTGACCTCAATTTATTTCTTAACTAATATTAAGTTTTGAGTCTACTAATGTTTTAGAAAATGTTGGGACTGTATTTATTGTGATTGGTATATTAGCAGGCTTCGGATTAATATTAGTGGTGATTTTTATTTTGAATAAGAAATTTTCTATGTAATTTCTCAGATTATATTGCTTTTGCCTATAGATTTTAGAAGATATTCTAATTTTTGTACAAGAAGATCTGCTATAATGCTTTTCTAAGATCATTGATTAAAGGTTACTTGAATTTTCAAATAGCTGCTAATATTGGATTGTTAAATGTAAAGATATTTGTTTAAATTCACAGCCTATATTTAATTAATCTTCTAATATAGGCTAATGATGACGACATTTTAAATACCTTAGTTGCAACTTTCATGTTTTTAAGTTTGTTCATGATTCCTTTTATTATATTATTTTTAATGAGAAAACACTTTGGTAATTATTTAAATTTAGATAATATTTCTACCCATAGATAAGTTACAGACTCAAGAATTTAAGGATAAATATGGATCTCTGTATCTAAATGTAGAGAGGTAGTAGGATATTTATATATTCTTATTCTTTGTGAGAAGGCTTTTGTATGGAATGGCTATAAATTTCTTTGGAACATACCCATTTCTTTAAGTTTTCACATTATGTTTTTCAAGTTTAGCTCTTTTGACTTTCTAATATTACTATATGCCATTTGACACTAAGAATCAATAATTCTTCGAGATTTACAATGAAACTACTATTTTGCTAGTATCATATTGCTTACTGCCCTACTCACAAGATTACTTTACAGAGGATATACTGTAAGAAATATATTTAATTTATTCATATAGAGACTTAAGAACTAATTTAGGGTGGGTAATAGTTGGAATCATAGGCATAAACATTCTATTAAACTAACTAAATCTAATTGTTTAAGCAATACTAATGATCTATCAAATAGTTAAAAGGAAACTCTAGCAAAGAAAGCTGAAGAAACTGAAAGAATAATAAGAAAGGAAATATGCCTTATAGGATTAAAAAAATTAAGAAGATTTTAAGAATCTATCATAGAATACTTCTCTTGATTTACATTCTTCTTTCGACAATAAAACTATTGATGATGAGCCTAAAGTCCTAAATTCAACATTTGTAAAATAAAAAACAAAGAAGAAATCATTGGATTTAAGTAAGGGAAGAAAAACCTTGAAAATGATTAAGGATCTAATCATACCAAAGCCTGCAAAAAAAGCAAAGAAAAAGTTTAGTTCAAATAAATCATAAGAGGCTATAGTCAAGAATATTCAAACTGTCTAAGAGGACCAATTTATAGATAAAATTCACTAAGGTCCAAATTTAGTATTAGAAAATATTAAGATATTGGAATAATCAAATAAACCGAAAAAGTCATAGTTTGGCACTGCTAAAACTGGAGGAAATTACAGTAATATGGAGGAATTAGAAGATGATTTTGATAATACAAAACAAGATTTACTATATGTTGATTTCCTCAATAATGCAAAACAAGATATAAGTTTTCAGCAAAAGAAATCAAAGTCTTAGTAAAATCTTCTTGAGCCAATAAAGTATTTGCAACCTGAAGATATAGCTAAGAATAAAATTCTGAAAGTTGGCAAAAGAGATATTCTATTGAAGTAATTTCAACATAAATGACGATGATTATATGATGAATTTTAATTAAGATTTTATTATTAGATTTTCGAAATCTCATCTCAAGATTAACATACAAATCCAGACTAAGGGGTTTTGGGGTTTTGGGGTTTTGGGG